AGAAATATCTGAAGAAAGGTTTATTGCTTTCTTGAGTTATATCATATGTACAATGACCTATATATAGGTGTTTACAAAGAGAATATTCTAAGGTATAAAGAATACAAAGAGAATATTCTAAAGTATAAAATATTTACAATAATTCTAAATATAATTATGTTCACATCTTAACACGGACATAATTAAATTTGATCAGACATGCTGAAACTTAAAGAAAATGTCCATTTAAAGCAAACTTTGAGTGAATAGATGTGATAAAATGGATTTATCTGATCGGAGCGTGGACTTAAGGCATCCTCTCGGCTTCTATATATAGGCCAAAATTCAGAATTTCTTTGAAAGTAATTCTTATATATTTTCTCCTATTCCTTCACTTTTACACTTCGAGAGAGAGTTTTGGTTGTTCTGTTGTATACTGGACTTTTAAAGCCTTAAAGAAAGTAATTCTGTCCACACCTCAGAATTTTCTTGTTTTCTATAATCTTCTTTTCTCCTATTTGTCTATCAGTTCATGCTCTTGCGAAAGAGCAAATGTTCTTCTCTGCCTCTTCTATCAATGCTAGAGATTCCTTAGGCTATTCCTGGCACTCTGAAGGTGCCCACAAGCACCACTGGCCTGTAATGCCTGCTTCTCCTGTTATTCATCCTATACCTTTGATGCCGAATTCAGTCGTACCTCCTGCTCCTGTAATGGTGAATTTGGATACTGTCCCATTCCTTTGTGTCTAAGCTGGTGCCTATAGGGGATCTCACCAAACCTGTTGCGGAATTCGATGAAATGACAGCAAAACTCCAGTTCATGAAGGTGAAATCCATGCAAAGCTCTCAGGCTTATATGGTCCAGTTGATTTCTCTCCTCTTTGCTATTATCCAAGCATTCAAGTCCAATACAAGTTCCAGGTGCTTGATTTTTACAAGTACGTTGGTATTGGCTGTCCAATAGAACATTTTGCAATGTATAAGGGAAAAATGGCTCCATACTCCACTAATGATTCAATATTTCCATGATAGTTTGACCGGTCCTGCAAGCACCTGGCTTTCTAACATTGATAAGTCTAAAGTGAAAACTTGGGAAAACGTTCAGCGTAGATTTTGTAAAGCATTATGGGTTTAACAAGCTTTTGGCTCCAAATAGAGATATAACTTACAAAAGAGGAAGGACACTACTCCATTATTGATAATTTTTTGCGTCATTTCCATTGGCCCATTATATTATTCTACACTGTTAGTGTTTTTTTAAAATAAATGAATAGTAATGTATAAATTGAATTATTGAAGCTCTTTGAATAATTACATATATTTATATAATCATGACTATTTTAAAAAGACATGTACATTTAAAACAGTACCTTTTGGCTTGGTCACATGTTTTCAAAGGCACACATTCATCTTCTATAAGTAGTTTATCTCATTTCCTCATTTACAAATTCAAGTCTTCCACTTGCATACTAGTTGCTCATTAGTTTCTTAAACCAACTTACTCTTGCGTAAAGTTTGCTCCAGAAAACTCTACACAAATTAGATATAATTCTGCTTTTCTGCTGAATGCTCAATGGTTTGATTCTGTCAATGCAAGACGTTGTCAAATATGGACTTATGATTTTTTTTTTTTTTTTATCATAAAGCAATTCACCACCCTTCTGCATATATATTAATACTCTATTTGGAAGGGGCGAATAAAGCATGGGAAAATTGACATTGCAACACACCTTGAAGTCATTGCGCTTACAATTCTCTTAACTTTACCCATCTGTTTCAACACAGACTATATCACTGTTAGATGAAGACAGACAATTAAGGTTGCGGCTGTTTCCCTTCCTGTAATATTAAACCAAGGAAGTTGAAAATGAAAGCTAAAGTAATGAAGCCATCTACCACATCTACTGTTGTTATTACCGCATAGCTGTAGGCTGTAGCCTCCTCCTTCTAAGAGACAGCTCACCATCATCATCCGCTGACTGCATCCAATAATTCTGAGACAAAATTGGTCAAAGACAGGCTTTTGCATCACAGATATGAGACTCGCCCTTTACTGTCTGTATTTACTCCCTCTAATGTTATTGTTCTATCTCAACCACTCCTCTGCCATGGTCATTAAGTTGCTAGCAGAACCCTTTTTCCAGTTTAAAGTTTTGTTGGTCCCCTTACCCATGTTTGCCAAGTGTCCAGCATTGTCCGTGGTTGATCTCTTTGTTTATTTTTGTATATGTCAACTGAAACAGCGTGAATGTTACGGTGAGGATTTTTCTAACATATTCTTTTAATACACATATTAAGTCCATAATGGATAATTTTTTAGTCATTAAGTGATATAAAAAAATTTAATATTAAATTTAGAATTAATGTCATATTTATTAAATTAATTAATTAATTAATTAATTTAAAATAAAAATTTATTTTTACGTAATTAAATAATTAAAAATATATTAATTATATTCTTAAACCTCTACAGTATTTTACAAAATCGAAGATTCAGGTTTCCAAAGCCAAAGAACCCACACAAAGATTGATTAAAAAAAAAACAGTCCTGCCGTGCTTCTAAATTTCCGGTTATGGCGGTAAGGAAATTGTTAAGGCCGTGCTTCTAAATTTCCGGTTATGGCGGTAAGGAAATTGTTAAGGCCGTATTAT